GGCCCTCCCCTCCCGCGCCCGCCCCCCGGCGCCCCGCTCTCGCCCATGCTGCTGGTATTGGTCAGGGTCACCCCCTCGCCTTTCTTCTGCTTCTCCTTCCGTGTTATCGTGTGCGTCAGGTCCGGGTTCCACTCCTGCAAGCACAGAGCAACCAGCCCCTGAGCGCCCGGCCGCCCCGTGGGGCTGCCAGCACAGCCGGGGTGCCCAGCCTCACCTCAAACTGCGGCCAGTTCATGGGCATCCCGGGGCCGCTGGTGCTGCGGAACCACCGGAGATCCTCCTGCGCGTCCGAGAGGCGGATGGTTTGCTCCAGCTCCCGGTAGACGTTGGCGTAGCTGCAGGGAGAGATGGGGTCAGGGTGCTGCAGGTTGTCTGGAAGCACTCGGTCCCTCCAGGGCTTGATTTGCTTTCCAAGCAGCATGAGGAGACCTTGCGTGGGCACTTTGTGCTCAGCCAGTGCAGAAGGCACCTACCTGCTGCTCTCGGCCAGGTTCAGGTGCCTCTTGATGTCCAGGAGCACTTCCTTGAGGAAGTTGAGCCTCTTCTCCTCAAACTGCTGGCACTGCTCGAAGACTTGCTCCATGCTCTCGATGTACTGCGGGGTGCACTTATTCAGCTCATCCAGCACCTTCTCGTACTTCTCCTGAGTCTGCAAAGGTGCGGGAGGGTACCTTGGTTATACCTCAAGCACCTCAGAGCCCCTTTTTGGGTGCTGAGAGGGCCTGGTTGGAGGCTGCCACGCTGGGGAGCCCAGGCTGAGACAAGAGCCTCTGTGGGTGAAATCAGTCTGTTACTGGAGAGGTTTTGCCCCGGTAGGAGGGGTAAATCTCTGCCCTGCTCACACTCCCCTGAGCACTGTCTGCAGGTCATCGCACTTCTACAGGAGTGTGGGAAGGCAAAATGGGAATGAATGGGGGGAAAAGGGGCACGGTGGTTATTTCCACCCCTTTTCCCTGCCCGATGCCTTGATGGCCCAGAGCAGGACAGCAGCTCGCACCTTTTGCACATCCTGCTTGCACTTTTCTACTTTGTCCTGGAGCTTCTTCTGCTGCTCAGGGGTGTTGGACTGATCTGCCTTGCTGTTGGCTTCCCGGGTCACGGCCAGCTTCTCCTCCTTGCATGCTAGGTGGTAGGCTTTCTTGGCTGTCTCCAGCTGTGGAGAGGAGAGAGAAGACACATCAGAGGAGCAGCCACAGCTCCCTGCTCATCCCTCTGCTTGCAGGGAGGTGCCACCCAGCTCTCCCAGCCTGGACCTGGCACCCAGAGCTGGAGCCAGGAGGTGGCACGGGTGCCCCAGGACATGGTGCGCTCCTCCTCTCACCTCCTTGAGCTTCTTGGCCCAGGGCTTCTGGGCTTTCCTGAAGCCATCCTCAGCCTCCTTGGCCTCCTTGAAGCCTCCCATGATCTGCTTGTGGTAGGCATCCTTCTGCCAGTTCTTGACCTTCTCAAAGTCATCATTCAGCAGGCTGTTCTTCATGTCCTGGTGCAGCTCACTCACCTTGTCTGCCTCCGTCATGATGGCACCCCACGCCCTCTCCAGGCTGCCGTACTGGGGACCTGGGGGGCAGAGGGGACAGCTGAGCATCACCGCACAGCCCTTACCCTCTCCACCTCTTCCAGGGGAAGGTGTGATGGTGCAGGGGTTCCCGTGGGACCCGGCTGTCCTGGAGGAGCCGTTTCTCCACGGCACCTTTCTCGATGAGCTGCCTCCACCGTTTGGACCAGTCGGTGAGCTGCTGCGCGTAGGACTTCTCAATCTTGGCCCGCTCGTGCACGCAGTTCATGAGGTCATTGCAGAGACGGTGCCCATCGTCGATCCGCTTCACTGTGCGCTTGTAGTTCCCCACCTGGGAGGGGGACGTGGACAGAGAGGTGTGGGAGCTGCGTCCAGACTGCCCGGCGGTGGGGATGGGGGTGGCACCGGGCACTTCGGGGGTACAGGGATGGAGCCTTTGCTTTGGGGCTGCTCAAACCCAGCTCTTTTTGGTCCCTTGAATTGCTCTGCACCCCTCGGGGACAGCCAAGGGTGAGAGCTCCAGAGGAGCTGGCTTGGATGCCCACAGGCAGCAC